TTGTACACTAGGGTTTACAGTAGAGTAGTAAGGGGAGGTTTCGGGATCTTGTTGACTGCACAACAGGTCAACGAACTTGGGGGCATGACTAAATGGATTAAGGTAATGGTCTTAGAAAGAGGATAAGAAAAGAAAGGGAAATGTGTTTAAGAAATAGAAGAAGATGATCAGAAAGAGAAAAACAGAGAAAAACAGATGTGTTTTTCTCTTTGCTAACACAGAGAATAAGAACTGTGTTTTTAGAGAATAAGAAGTGTGTTTAGACAGAGAAGAAGAAGTGCGCTTAAATGGTGAAAGGAAATGATCAGAAGCATTCATCATCTTCTTGACATTGACATGTATCTAACTAAGAACCAACGGCTATCTAGGAAAGTTTGTACATTGACATGTATCTAACTAATTCATCACATTTATCACCAAACACACATTAATAAATGAACATGCATTCATCACAATATCAACCATAATGGAACAACAATTGAATTAGATAAGTAACTAGATAATCCAACTAGATAAGTAATAAAGAACAAGCCTTTTGAGAGAACCCAACTGAATTAAGCTAACTTTNCTAGAAACAATCTTAACTAGGTCGCTGAAACAAATCATGAGCTTTCAGGCAATACTATGAAACAATCTTAACTACACAAGCACANAAACACCATNAAACAATACTAATGCACCATCAAGAATTTGTAAAACAAGACACAGTCCAACAAATCCTTAAAATGCACTCTAAGTGACACAAACAGAGCCTAGTCACAACATAACACTCTAACAAGAATCAAAAGGTCCATAACTGAAGTACCATGACATTCTTTACCGGGGTTTGCATTCTCTTGAACACAAGCATGAAAGTTGCTTTCAACATCACTGGAAATTAAATCAGCTTCCGCCCAGAATCCATCTCATTCTCATTAACCCCATTCCTCAATTTCTCATCTTTAGCGACCACGGATTCTGTAGTCATCAAAGCGTTTCTCGGGACTTTCAAAACCAATTCTCCTTTCCTGAGCTCACGAACAGCACCCGAACCCCTCCTAGTTCCATCAAAATCAGTATTGAGCAATGAGAAAGACATAATTTTTTGAAAAGGAAATCGAATTCGTTTCTCTACACTCACCCGCCGGCGAGAGGGAAGTCAGCGATGGAAAGGGAATGGTCGAGGCACGAATCGTGAGATCTAGAAGAATCAATTGAATCTGAAACGCCAAGCTCTGCTGCCCATCGTAGGAACGTGTCCATGGTTTGGTGTTCTAAGCAATCAGGAGTGCGGAGTGTTTTTCTCCAAATCGAAGACGAAGACAAAGAAGATTACTCTTTACTCTCTCTCTTTCGCCTTTTTTAACCCTTCGAATCGCCAAAAAATCGCCATCAGAGATCGATTCCGA